GAAAAGTGTTGCTTTTATAAAAGCAGTTCTCCCCTTCCTCTCAACTCATACCCAGCGTGATTAGCCAGTTCTATTTAGCAGAGGTTTCCTGTCCCAGCTGGTAAATGTGTTATATTGCCCTCTGTCGCTTGTCTTGTATTTTTCCCATCAAGGAAGATCTACTCTAAAAGGATGAGGAAAGTTTCACTACTCCTGATAGACAGCAAAGACTCTCTGCTCACTCCTTCTGTAGATATCTTTGCGTTTGGAGAAAACGAAAAATCCTCATCTGGTATTTAAGGTTCAAATCTGGGAGAAGTATAAACCTGGGAAAGAAGAAACATTCATCAATATTTAAAGTGGAAAAGCTCATTTCAATTTCCTGTTCTGCTGAACTTCTCAGTGCACATTGGAAAGCAACTTAAAGCCGATTACACACAGCTGAAATGAAGCTGGCACTGGCCCTTTCCTTTTGCTCTTCAGTCAGGAAGACTATGATAGCTAGAGCTTTTGAACAAGCACAGAAACCCTTCCCAATCCACAGGGGACACAGTCAAATTGAAAACTCTAAGTTGCTCAGATCCTTACAATGGTGGGTACTGCATAAAGTTGTAAGATTTTTTGTTTCCTTGTTATACTAGGATCTAGTGCTGGATGGTGCATCTCAAAATAATTTCAACTCTGAGAAATTTGTGCTGCAATTTTGCATAAGGAGGAGGAGTTTTGGACAGCTGAGTCTTACAGAAATCTGATTTCCATCATTGCTTTCTGGGGCTCCTGAAAAAAGCCAGCTTCTTCCTTCTTTTTTCTCAGACTAGCAATCATGTACCTGTGTGATGAGCCAGTCTAGGGTCAAAAACTAATTCCCCCCTCCAACATTTTATTTCATCATTATTTACAGAAAAAAGATAACATACATGTTTAAAATTACATAGAAATTATGTCTTGGATGTATATCTCAATTGAACTTGAATTTATATTTAACTATTTAATTAATAGAAATAGAAATTTAAAGAGGATGAAACAGTCTATCAAAAAATTAATATAATATTGAAATATGTTTTATGCCTTTTTAGAGGTAAGAATATTTATAAAAAGCATAATTTATATTAAAAAATCCACTTATCACATACAAAAATTTCTGATATATCACTTCAATTTTCACACATATGTATCACTTCATTTAACTCCAGTGATTATTGTTTATATCCTTACAGCTCAGAGTGTTGCTGGCCTAGATATAAGGGTGGGGATTATTCTCAAGCAGTACAAAGTAAATGCTGATTACCTCAATCTGCCAAATTTTTTCTGGAAATGCTATACTGCAGAATGTACCCCAGATCAGAATTATGTATTAAGTTCTGTTTTGCATTACTTGATTATGTCCATGACAGAAAATTATTACTGTGACCTCCCAAGTGGCTACAAATCTGAGGTATTGTTTTTAAGCAATTTATTTGGTCTGAAGGATGGTGTAACTTTGTCACATAAATGATTCTTTTAAGCACAATTTTAAAGGAAGCATTCAATCTAGTATTTTGCTGTCTGGATAATGACTTGAGGCCTTGGCTCAACCTCTCCTGTGTTTCTATTACCTCTAAACTCTAAGAAGTGGTTATGAAATGTCACATACCTACCCTGCTATTCAATTTGTGCTCACAGAGGAAGGCATTCCAATCTCACAAAAGAATTCTGAATCATCGTTTATCTGCCTGTGCAGAGTTTTGAGATCCTTGGCAAGGGGGATAATAGGATTGTAAGGTCCTTTGTTTGTTTTTAAGATTTTTTAAATATCAAAATTGGGATTGAATTCTATTTATATATTGCAGCCAATATAGCACAAAAAAAATAAAGCCTTTTAAGTAAAATATTTTATTTATACTTTGAAAGTAACAATTTGTAGACCTGCTGCCTTTCTGTGGACTATTTCAAGCCATATTCAAACCAAGGGCATGACTCCCAACCTTCCAGGGTGCTTGCATCAGGACTCAGGAGAGTCTCACAAACCCAGGTGATGTGTTGGATGCCTCATATCACTTAGAGTTAATTGAAATTCAATAACGAATGGCAGCATTCAATACCACACCAGAAATAATAATGCAGAAGGAAAGAAGGGTTCCCTGCTGACTGTGCACCTGAGGCACACCTTTTCTAACCACCTAGAGCTAACACATTTGAGCTATGCTTTCATGTAACCCAACAAAACAATAACAGCCCAGCAATACCACAGTTTTCTCCCCAAATACTTCCCCAGTTCACCAGCAGCACAGGTTGTAAGTATGTGAGCCTAGCAGAAAAAGCCTTCTCTGTGTTAGTAATTATATTGCCTCTGATTTTTCATGTTGCCACATAGTTTGTCCCTGTACTCAGCTTTCCTGAGATTTGGGATGCCTCACAGACCTGTCTGATTTGTTTAAAATGGGTATTAGGGGTTATTTTAAAATTTTAGATCTGAAGCATGACTTCAGTGCATGAAGCTATGGTAATTCTCAAGGAACATCACGGGTAATAATTGTGATTAGAGCCTTAAAACCAGCACATTTTCCTTGGGAAAGGCTATGAGCACAAGCTCAGTATAAATACATTCCTACCCTGTGTGGCCTTTGAAGAATGACAATGTGCTATCACAGCAACAAGGAGCCACTGCGACTGCTCTCCTTAATGAATGTGGTTTTTTATTTTTTGATGGAACTAACATATGAAAATTAGATTATAGCTTCAGTCTTATTATTACTGGAAGTGTGTTTTGAGAAGGAATACCACAAATACCTGTGGAAAAAGAAATCATTCTGCTTGGATTACATAATGTATTTCATAAAAGAATAAATCATGAAGCTTCACTTTCAGTTATTCTTTTTTCCCCTCCATTTTGATATCTGTGAAGTCACTTTTTCTTAGGGCAAGTAGTTAAAATTAGTTTTCTTTACTTGGAGGGTTGATTCTGCATCTAGTATCAGTTGTTAATTCCTAACAAGTGGGCTTACAGGCGGATCCAAAGAAGACTTTAGATCGACCTGGCAGGGTCCTAACTGACAATGAACAGAGCACATTTTCACATCTGGACAGGGAGAGATGAGGGCCTTGTGTCTTAGACACAGCCAGGGTTAGATGGCTGCTGAAAGAGTGTTCTTCAGATTTCAGGTCTTGCTCCTGTGTCCTTATCTTTGTCATTTTCCACATTTTGGGCTGTCATTTTATAGACTATTCTAAAACAACAACACTGAGCTTATTCCCCCTCTCTTCTCAGTCTTACTCCAAGTTACAAAATATCTCTAAGTTGGAACGAACAAATTGTCTTGATTGCCAAAGTTTTTTTCTTCTTTCTTCTGTTTCTCATCCTCTACTGTGGAGTCATTAAACCATGAAAGGAGAAGGAAACAAGGACACTTCCAATTGCAAACTGCAACAATTAGGAAGCAGGAACACCCCAATTCTATAAGTAACCTAAGAAATTTTTTCTTAATTTTTTCCTGCTTCTCCTTCCCACCTATTTCCCTCCCCTCCTTCCTTGCCCCTCCCTCCCCCATGACCCCCTCCATGTCTGTGCATCCTATTTCACATGTTCATTTTGGAACTGGTATTAATTCAGGACCAAACTTCATAAAAATAATTTCAGTTAAACACAATAAGTGGATCCGTGACATTAAGAGAGGGTAACTGAGATGGTGCTTTGGGCAGTTAAGATATTCAAAGGAAATGGGATAGATGAGGATTGGTTTAAAATGCAAAAAAAAAAAAAAAAAGAAGGGTGAAATATTACTGCCAGTGTTATTTAATTATTTCCGAGTTAACAATGCAAAATGAGGGTACACTAAATATAAACCCTTATCTTTAATTATTAAGCCCGTCCTGTTCTACTTGTACTGGAAAACCTGAAATCAATGAGAATGAATCCCAGCAGCGATCCAGTTACTACCAGAGAAGGGCTGCATATACGAAAGGGGAGCAACGTGCTTTAAAAGACAATGTAACAGAAAGTAATGCAATTTGAGGGGGAAAAAAGGAAAAAAAAATACAAGCGAGGTTTGTTTCCTTGTCTGCCTTCATCCTGAGCTCACATTAAATGATAGACTTTTCTTCTCTCTGCATTCCAATTAGAGTGTTCCAGTGGGCAAGCGGGGAAGGGAATGTTAATGAGGCAGCGGGGAGCGGGCTGGGAGCCGGGGCTGGCGGCTCCCCGCTCCCGCCGCAGTCCGGGGCATCACGGCGCGGCCGGCGGGGCTGTGCCCTGCCAAACGCGCGCTTGACCGGAGGCGACAGAGGTTGAGGAGGGAGGGCTACGGAAAATGTGTTGTACCGGTCCGGGGAGCGCTTTTCGCCCCGTTTCTCGTTCGCGCACCGGCGACGCCGCCGCGCCCGCCCGCTCCGGGTTCCGAGGCCGCGGAAGCCGCCCCGGGCCGGAGCCGGTGCCCCGCGGGCGGGGACCCCGCGCCCTCCGTGTCCCGCGCCGGCCGGGGCNNNCTCCGCAACTTGCCGCCCTGCGGGGCTGCCCCCGCCGCGCCCGCGCCCCCTGCGCTCCCCGGCGGCGGCCGCCGGTGCTCTGCCGAGCAGCTGTCAAACGTGCTGGGCGCTCGGCGGCGACGGGGGGCGGCTCGCCCGCGGTCGGTCCCCGCACCGAGCCCCGGCGAATGGCATGACTCTGCCTCCCGCCCGCCCCCCGACCCCCCGGCTGCGGTGTGCCGTAGTGAGGCGAGGGGTGGTTAAACCCCCGTCCTCCCATACATACGGTTTTTATTTTTTGTTCCTTTTCGTCTCGGGGCTTTCACATCACGGAACAGGAAAGCATCTGATGCGCCGGCTCACATGCCACTTCTGATCATACATTGCCTCCTTGCACAGAGCAGGATCGTTGGGAAAGATGGAGATACAATAAGTTGCTAGTACTGAAAAGTGCTGCAGAAATCCAGTGGTTTCCTTTCTCCAGTGAAGTGACATATTTTCCTCCGGTTTAAGTTGAAAGCGCTGCTTGGCGGAGACTGAGTGTGGCTGAGAGTGGGTTTGTGTTTTTCTTGCACCGTTAGGTTTTGCAAAGAGCAGCGATGAAGAAGAAGCTGGCACTCTCCGAGATGCAGTTGGTTCTTCTCGTTTTATTGGTGTGGCTACCAACAAGGTGAGAGGATATTTAGTTTTGTTGTTCAGTGTGAACGTGTATGTTACAATCTGATAAGGGTAAGCTTGGTTGAGGGGTTATAAAAGTATAGTGTGTAGTAACGTAATAAAAAATCTTTCTTAGCTGTTTGAATGCAGTATTACATAGTTTCGAGAGCAAATGCAGCAGAATGTAGTTTAGGGACCTTAAAAGCCTGATCTCTTGTCCTTAAAGGGTTTGTGAATTGATGCTTTATTCCACCATTAAAATAACAATTTCTTTAAATGCCTTTTTGGATCTTAAAGACTTCAGTTACTGCATAACTGTGGTTCTGTACCATACAAAATGGAGAAACAGATTTTTATTAAGTCACACTGAAAATCACTGTCCTTAAAATAATGTTCATATATTTATTAATATGGGCATGCCTTTTTTTTTCTTTTTTTTTTGGTCAAGCATAATAGAATTCAAAATGATGCTTAAACCTTAAACCTCTAGGTGGAGATAGCATACAACTTCACAATTACATAGAATAAAACAATAGCATCATTTATTAATCAACTTTTCTTATGTTGTGTAAAGTTCTCAATTTCTAAAGTGACAGTATAAGGACAAGTAATTTTTATTACATTATACTTTTGTGTTGCTCACAGTCCCTAAACACATAATTAATTGTAGTTTGTAACTTTGATTTACTTGCTTTGGTTGTGGCTGCAGTACGTCTTGTCCTAATATGGTAAAGACTGTATGCTATATAATGCAAATTTCCTATGATTTAACATGTCTCCAATATTTTTGTTTGTTTCCCAGCAAACAAAATATGTTCTGAAACTATGTTTTCTATTTCACTTTATACCTAACTATGGTGCAGTATTAGTTGAGTCACAGTGGGCCAGATCCTGCAAACCCTACTCAAGTGAGTAATCTTTCTGACGTCAAAGAGACTATAAGCATTATTAAAGACTTTATGCCTGAGAAAAGTTTGCAAGATTCGACCCTAATTTGATGTAATTGCATTGATCTAATATTTTTAGTGGAATCTTGAGTTTAAAAACTGAGATGTACTCTGGTTGTCCCTGAGTACAATGATACATTTTACAAACCAAAAAGGAACCATCCAGTAATTGCAACTAAGAAAAAACTGACACATGAATAAAATCACACATGACATTTTCATGGGTTCTTTGCAGATTATCTGATTTGGCTCGATTCTATGGTTTTTATGATGGAAAGCACAGACTGCAATGATTTACATTTAAATACTTTTTTATGCTGTTGAGCTGGGGACCAACATACAGCCTTTAATCCTTTTATAGCTTGCTTTAGAGAAAATATCACCTAAACCTACTTTTGGTTTGGAGGAGGAGGAGGAGGAGGAAAACATGCTGGCTTTTATGGCATTCAGAATGCCTTCATTTCGAGATGATTAATACTCAAACATTTAGGATTAAAAATTTAGGTAGCTGAAAAAGGTGTAAATGGTAATGCGAGTAGCATTTGATGCTTTACTTCCTTGATACCAATATGCTGGTTTTAAGCAGATAAGACTGATGAGCTCATTTATTTCACATGCATCGTGCTTAAAATTGTTGGCACGGTAACATTTGCATGTGTAAGGCTTTCTGCATGTCAGGGTTCAAACCCTGTGTTCTGGGTGCCCAGGTGCCAGAGGACTGTGGGGCACCACGGCTGGCAGGGCAGCAGGTTCATATTCCAGCCCCTATAGCATGTCCCACCGAGATTTGATCCATAAAGGCTGTAATGTCTCTTTATTGGGGAAGTTTGAAACAATCAGTGATCTACAGATTCTTCTTGACACTTCATTTATGATTCCTTTTTCCATCCAACTTTTGTAAGGTTTGTCTGCATCTAATGGAATATCAGATAGTGCTTTTTATGACAAAATAGCGTTTTAGAAAGATGAAGGCTGGCCACAGCTATCCTGCAGCTTGCTAGTCAGCACTGGTGTTCCCTCCCACCAACTGCTGGCGTCAGAGGACTCCCTGAGCATGATCGCTGGAGTTTTCCCTCATGTTAGTTCTTCTGGTCATGTACATTACATGACCATTGGGTGGAGGCAAATCCACAGGATTTATCCAGAGATGGAGTATGCCTAAGTGAGGACAGATAAGATAGAGCTGGAAGGAGATGGGTTTGTGCATGGGATCCCGGGTTATCAGCCCAGGAGTGACATGCCACCAGAGCCTGGGAAGCTCTTCTAAGGTTTTGCACCAGCACAGCCTCCACTAACTGTGTTTGTGGAGCTTGAAGCAACACTCTCAGTAATGCGATGATGCCTACAAGTAGAGGCTACTGGAAAATGACTTCCTGGATGTTTTAAATAGTATGCTGTTGACCCTTATATGTCTGAACTTGTTATATATAAATTGTGTATTTGTATACTGTTAAATACACCTTTCCTGTTGGAATGCAGCAAGTAAAGGCCAGCACAAAAAAAATGCATGTTGAGTGTATGTGAAAACATACTTAGCACCTTCTAAAATGTAAAATATCCATTTAGATCAGTGCTGGCTGACTCCCTGGAAGACGAAGCTAAGAATAACATCACCATCTTTACAAGAATTCTAGACAGACTTCTGGATGGTTATGATAATCGCCTCAGACCTGGATTAGGAGGTAATACAACCAATTAAAGATTGATTTAAAAAAATCAATTTTAATGTTCAGATTTTATGCAGTGATATTCTTCCTTCAGGGTTTTTTTTTCCCTAACAACTGGTATGTATCTTGATAAATTATTTATAACTACATTCACCCAGATGAATCATTTGAAGTTTGAGGAAGATAACATCTATGAATGGAAAGAAGGCATTTTCACACATTTATCTTAAGTAAAAGGAAAAAAAAAATCGGGTGTTTTAACATAGTAAAACAGAATGTGAACAAAAATAACATCTAAAGCTGTTATTCCAGTCAGGGAATTTTGGTTGAACAAGGAATGCAGGCTTAATTCCCTGCAATCTGATAGGTGTATGTTTTCAGAAATCTGCACAAGAGTTTTGTGAGATGCATATAAATTCCACATTGTAGATTCGTTCCTTGGCCCAATAAGTTCAGTGAAAATGTTGTGATTTTGACTTCTTTGGAATTAGGGTGTCGCTGGTAATATACATTTCGTTTCTGGGCACCTTGCACTTATTTGAGCATTTGGAAAAAAAATACAGAAAAAGAGAATATTGAAGGACAGAGGTCACTGCACTCTTGTGCCATGACTGTCAGTTATTTTTCAAAATGTCAGTTCTCATTTTGATTTTAAAGCTGTATGCCATCTTATGTCAGTATGTGTTATATAGGCAAGAAATTTAAATAATTTTATGGTGTTGAAAATATTACTGTGTACAGAAAAATGTGACATAGGGAGGGGCTGAATATCTTAGTTTTGACAATATTTTGTCTACTACTATTGTTTATCTGTATTTATACTATCTAACATTGACATGCATGATTCAAATATACACTTATACTGCCATTATTATTATTTGTAACAGTTTTGGTAATTGTAATTTTCAACCTAGAGACTGTTTCAGCTTGGTGAAACTAATTCTAGTACAAAATCCTTGGGAGCCATTCCTGTTCCTGTTGATTTCAGGAAGATCAGGCCCAAAGCTAGAGACATGCTCCAGCTTCCATGGAAATTACAATAACAGCTCTGATCAAATTACGCATTTGCTGAAGCTCAGAGTTTTTATCCAACACTATTCCATCCTGACCTGTGGCTCTGTTGCTGTTCTGGTCCTGGGGAATTGTGGCTTGAATCTGACACAGCAGAAAGTGGGAGCTGATGCTGACTAAAACAGCTTTCTCATTATACATTGCTTTTAAACTAGGATGTCTTTTCATTTCCATTTCTGGCCTCTTTACAGTGAAGGCTTGTGAAATATTTTGTAGTCAAAGATTTCTTAATTTGGATGATACAGGGGACCTATAGCACTACTGATGCCAGAATTTATATAGTAATGTTTAACATGGAGTTTTGATTTCTTTGCAAAATACTCAGATGTAAGAATTTAGGGATAGTATAAACATACAATGACTTGCAGAAACATTTCATATCACCAAGCTCATGTTGAATTGATGGGACTTTTAAAATAATGCATTTTATTAGAAAAATAGCCAGTTTTCTTGCTTAAAGGAATGAGCCATTTAATGAGAGCAGTCTGCAGTTTCTTTGCATACCAATTATTTTTTTTAATATTGAAATAATATTGTTGAGAACATGAAATAAAGAAAAGATCTAATGGATTTTTCTTTTATATCTGTCACTAAATTTGCTTCAAAATAACCTCCCTCTTTTTCTTTATGAAGCCTCATAGATAATTAAAACATACTCTGAGAGCAAAAAAAATTAAAGAATTAACATCTGTTTGATATTGGTATACATGGCAATCAACCCATGCAGAATATGTGTGAAATGAAACTGTGTCATGCATATTAAACCGTGGTGATTCATGACACATTAATCTTAATCTTCAAGAATACTTCAGTTGTGGATGGATGGATTCAGTTTAAAAGAACACTTGTAAATGGCAGTTGTGATAATTCATGATACAAAACATACCAAACAAGACTTTTGTACATATTGCTTAGTAATTATGTAGTTTCATATTTCAGGAGTTTTCTAGCAGTTTATTCCTTTTTCTTTATTGACCTGTAGTCTGAAAAGAGATGTGGAAACAATGAACCTTTTTTTTTTTTAACACTACATACCTAGTAAGCCTGGGAATTTCTAAAAGTGTTTTTGCAAGAGATTACTGCATTCTGACCATGCCACACATCATTAATTTAAGATACCTAGTCTCAGTTGTGTTTCACTTCCCTTTATATGAATCTGAAATAGATCATTTGAATGCAGCAGGGTGTTTACTTTGGCACAGCAGTTTGCATTATCGTGCGCATATCACTGCTATGACTGGCATCACAATCTGGCCTAACGTGTAAAACAGAAATAGTCCAGGGTCTGAGATCCTTCTAAAGTCATCTGAAAGCAAGAGCTGTTCATCAGCCCACTTTCACTTGCTGTGAAAGACATTTTCAGAGGTGCTTTATAGCAAGAATTTAGCTCATGGTAGAAAACTGCTCCTTTAGTAATGAAATGTTTTGGGTTGATACCGACATTTTATCTAGTTATTGACCAACAAAAGGGAAATGTACAGGCTTCTTGAAAGTCTGTATATTAAATTCAACTAAGTGAATGTCTGATTGGGAGGTAGTTCTTGAATTAAGGGATAGATTTGTAATTAATTTTACTGCGAGACTTAGTGTGAGTACTGACAGCATGCAACTTGATGCTTTACTGATGCAATTCAAAACAGACTATTTTCTATAGGCTCTTGAGGAAGGTTTAACTTTTACTGGTGGTACACCTCAGTCAGATAAACAGGTTTTGGCTGTTGGCTGTTGGCTATCCTAGCAGCTGTGATCTTGAGTGGTGTATGAACACTACAATGATGAAATGACCTGCAAAATGGGTGTGGGCAGGGAGAAAATGACACTGCACCATCTCCTGAAGCCAGAGACATCTCATATGACTTAGATATATACCCCAGCCTGCTGTATTGATATGGATGAGCATGGGTTTATTCAAGGGGAGATAATCTTTTCTCTGTACTCATTTTATGCTAAGCACAGGATTGCAGCTGGAACACTCTTGACTGCACTTTCAGCTCTGAAGTGAACTATTTTACCCAAACATTCCATACCATTTCTGTTTAGTCATCAAAATACATTACATGTTTGACTTCAAAACAAATTTTACTGTATCATTAGCATTAATTTGTATGAAATATAGCCATGCAAATGGCAAGTCATACAGACCTTATTTGTTTATGACTTTCTACAAGTCATGAAGGTATTTTCTTCTTTTTATTTGCTGTATGTTTGCAATACACTTAGGGTAACATTTTTTCGTGAATCTTTTGCTTTTTATTAGCATGTAGAAAAGGAAATCCACACATTAATGGGCACTAAAACTAAGCAAGGAACCAAAATATCTGTTAGTGATTGAATTATTTGTCTGCTCCCCTCTGCCCCATGAACAGACACGATAATAATGCTGGATACTTCAGTATTGTGACTATCTCTATAAGTTATTCAGTCTTCTTTACTTTCTCACATCTGAAATTAGCCTTTCCAATTGCTAAAGAACTTCTGTCTTTTCTACTCTTGGAAACTTAAAAACCAGAACTGAACAGAAAACTTAAATGTTGGAGAAAAAAAACCAAACAGCAAAACAAACAAGAGGGAGGTTACAAGGACAGAAGAATGGACTTCATATCCTATAATTTCAAGTGCCATATTGACATTGAAAAGATCTATGAAAATGTCAGGATCCTTCTGCAAACTGTGGTCAGTTTGACCAGCTTCAGGAACGGCATTCTTATTGTAACCAAAGAGTTGAATGCTGGTTGTTAAAAAAAGAGGAAGATAAGACAGTAGGTAGGTGAAAATTAAATGCACTGTGAATCTATTTTGAAGGAACCATCTCTGCTTTCAAATGTCCTGATTGCTTTAAGCAAGCATTTGCATTGCATTTCTCATACAGACAGACCAAATCCTCTTTCTTTGGAACATTTTGTAAATCAGTTGAAGATGAAAACTGAAAAGAATGGAGAGGAATTCTTGCTGACTATTTCTATCAGAGAGATGGTCAGCAGTAAGCACTTGCAGGTGTGATCTTTCATCTTTGGAAAACTGGATATTTCATTGCACAGAATCAGTGTAATGGTGTAGAATATCAGACTTGGTGATTAAAAATTGTGTGATGTGCTCACCAATATGAGCACAAGGGAAACCCATTTTTTCACAGATTACCTTTGTCTCCTGCCCAGATCAGGAGACCTGTATCCATATATATGTGTGTGTGTGTGTTCATCAAATAGTTGGAGGTTTTGAGTTGCCAGGAGACACAGCCATGGTCATATGCTGATAATCTGGAATATGTTGAATTTAGGGCACTGTATTTATACATTGCTGTGATTCAGAGTTTTTAATGAGCTTCAGAAGAGTTTGTAGCTATAGCAGTCTCTAGCTGGGGGATCCTCGTTTGGCTAGTCCCCTAGCCAAACCTAGTGGTGTTTGTCAGCCCCAAACATGCTTAATGCAAATTCAGAGAATCATAAAGGAAGGTTCTTTGTCTATTTTTTTTTTCTGCAGAGCACTACTAGAAATCTTCCACTACTGTTTTTAAAGGAAAAAAGTGCAGTTCCCCATCTCATTTCTGGTTGCTTCCTTAGCCTTTTTTTTTGATCCAGGTTAATCTTTTGGAAATGGTAATATCTCTCTGCCAGTGCTAGTGCAGAGCAATTCAGAGCAGCACTTGCATCATCTGAAAGCCCACTGTCTTTGTAGCTATGCTGGGACACAAAGGGATAAACTACTGTATGTATGCTCCTCTTTTGGGCATACCTGGAAGGGCCACATGGAATCTGGCCATAATGGTGCTTCCAGAGGAGTCAGTGAGAAACTTATGTTAGAGCTGTGGATAATGTATATTGGCAAAAAGCATTCCTTGTAAAAAATGGAGAAGCAATAGAGAGCAGGATATGAAAATCTCATTAATAACTTATCCAGGGCATGCAGACAGGCAGTGCTAAGATGCAAGAGCAGAACTAACTCAG